GTTCCACGTGACTGTCCCTTTTTAGTCTTTTTGATCTCTTGTCCGGTGTTACCGTGACAACCACTGTGCTGAGTAACACGAACCCCATTGTCAGAAAAAGACACGACCAGGCAGGAGGGGGACGTGCACAAAGCAGAAATGGACACCAGTCAAACAGTAGCCTGGGGAACATAGAGAACATCCTGGAGAATGAGGTGGTTTCCCTGCTCAATGAAGAGCTTCACACGACCAACCCCATGTGCATGAATCAGAGAGCCATTCACACTCCGAATGCCATGAGGGGCAATAGGACGCAAGTCGTAGAAGTCATCATGGCAAGGCGTGAGGTGGGTAGATGCACCAGAGTCAAAGACGAAGGGAACAGCTGCAGAGATAGCAATGCGACCAGTAGGAAGAATGGTAGATGCAACAGTGAAGGCAGATGGATCAACATCAGAGTGCAAATGGGAGCGCCAGTCAAGGGACACAAAATCCTCATTGAGGGCAGAGATGAGCACATCATATTCAATGTCATCTGCAGGGTCTCCGATTCAACCTGAGCATGTCCGAGCAATATGGGGGAGCTGTTCGAGTGCATGCCTTGCTTGGGGTGGGTTTGTTGTCCTATGACTTGCTGCTGCATGGTCAACCCAGTTGCAGCTAAAACCTGTTGCAGGAAGAGCAATTGTATGTCTCGGACCCTTGCACCCTCCATCACATTGTAGTCAAGGAGCAGCACATATATGATGAAACAGATGTCTTCTTGATGTACCCCTTTGAATGTTTTGACACTGATATATATGATTAATTCATTACTCCATCTAGGATAAACGATCTAATTTTCAGTGAAGGCCTCATCGCCACACATGGCAAGTGACCATTGTTGCCCTGCATTGCTCAGGAGTCTCACATAGGGGCATACAGGAACCCAACACAAGAAGCAGAGAAAGATGCTCAATCCTGTGTTTTCCTTCACGAATATGCGACACCTGCTGTCAATCATCCAATCAATCACTGATCAGCTGCTCGCTGTGCTGCTGACAGAATTGCCACCCAACGGTGAGACCCTTTGAGTGAATATGTAATATATATATCTCATGATGTTCTCCTGCAGGCAGAAAAGAAATCAACGTCATTCCTTGGATGTCCCGCACTGCTATGGAGTACATATGCCAAGCAGGCATGGGCTACACCTTCAATACATTGGAGTCGGACATGACATCAGAGCATGCACGCGCAATCTGAAAGCTTAGGTGTGCCTGCCCTTTGTGTCATGATTGTGCACTGATCTCCCCTATACCTGTGAACTGCGTGGACATGATGGAAGCTCAACAGCGATGTGCATCATCATGCTCTGCCTGTTTATCCCATGCATCATATGCAGACTACCCCTCCACTGATGCAATGCTCTCATCGACTGGATGCCCATGCCTGCCCTATATGAGATGCGTGAAACTGTGGGCACACTCGACAGCATTAGCAAGACTATCTATGCAGAGAAGAAGGCTGCAGTAGATGGGCATGCCATGAAGGGTGCACTCGAGGGTGAAGATCTTGGTCTGCAGATGAAAGGCCGGGATATCATAAGCATCTTGCGTGCGTCCCTTTTCTGCTACCCGCCATCCACGCTGAACTCCCCAGCAGTGAAGGTGAACTCATCATCCTCAGATGCCGACTGACTCACTGAGACCAAGCTCCTCAGACAGATGAAGTGAGCACTGCCACACTGCACCAGCGATGGCAGGCTGACCGGTGCTTGGACAGCACCATCATCTTTGCGGCATTTGAGATGACCACCGTCGCCATTGCGTGCATATTCTACATCCTCGTGACATGCCCAGACATGCAGGTGCACCTGCGCAGTGAACTGTGGGTGGTGAAGCAGGTGCAAGCAGTGGTCAGCGAATGCTGGGAGGATGTCATGCTGCCGTACGATGTGCTAATGGGCTTGCCGTACCTCGACACGATCATGCATGAAACATTCCATGTCTATCTGCCAACGTTACTCATGAGCTGCATGTGAGCAATATAGCATTGTGGCACAGAGTACGCTCTGACACCCATCCAGTGCCAGGCAGGTGATGGTCCTCCTCCTCAAGCAACCTGTATGTTCTGCATCTGGTGAGCAGATCTCATCCATACCCTTGCCTGAGGGTACAACGGTCATCGTCTCCATCCTCGCCATGAACCACAACAAAGAGGTGTGGGGTGAGGACACATCAGCATGGCACCCAGAGTTTTGGCTCACTGCATTGGGTGAGTGAATCCGCATAGGTCAAGACCTGGACAAAACACTCAGAGAAGATGAGGATGAGGTCGATGCTACTTCAGGAAAAGGGAAGATCAAGTACCCTGGAGTCTATGCATCGATGTGGATAGCTTCGTCTTGAGTTAGCAGAAGCTCACGCTGAATAATGAAATAGGATGACCTTCTTGGAAGGTGGACGTGCCTGCATGTGAGCGTTCTCTGAATGAGCAGTGTCGCAGTAGCTCACTTCCAGTCCTCGGTAGCGGATTCAAGTTTGCAGAAATGAAGCTGAGTGAGTTTTCTTAGTTTTCCTTTCAAGTGGAAGCAGCCTGATGGCTATATTCACAGAGCAAGTCATCGTGACTCTCGTACCTGCATTGAGCCTCGAGCTTCCTTCAGAGGCTGACGAGAGTGGTAATGTCAAGGAGATATACTGGAAGATGAATGGCTTACAGGTGCCAGTGGTCCGTCCACCCCTCGGTGATGATCGTATGCCACAGGTGCCGTTGATGATCAGGAGAGTGGAAGAACATGATTTCCTTGATGACTGATTGCCTCGATAAAAGTGTGCATAGAATCGATTGATGTCCTCTATAGCAGGTGGTCTCTCCTTTATGCACCTAGGTCACTAGCAGTGCCTCGTGAAGAATTTGTCAGTACAAATGTTTCACACTTGCATAAACATTGTGTGATATCTCCAGATCCATAAGATAAGAAAACTTCACCCAATGCTGTTGACAGTTCGCACCAGACTGGGATAGCTGTAGGGTAAAGCACGTATACCGAGGGGCAAACTGATGCCCCCCTGTATTATATCTGCCTACATATACATGAGACACTATGCACACAGACCACCTGGTGCCTCCCATTTAGCCCAACCCATGGGCTTACATATATCCTGGTGGTATGGCGTAGCTCACCAGAATTCAACAAACACAATCACAGGACAAATGAGATACGAAATCCAGCGTTCTTCAAAGCCTTGATGTGATAGACGGTAAAATTGTGGCATGAATCTCCCTCGAGAGTAATTAATGTGAAGGTACGTTCTTTTGGATCAAGTTGAATGCTGAGACACGCTGCATGCTTTATGTGATGCAGGCAGGTGCCCGGGTTTGTTTGTACATGTGCGTGTGACCTCATACTTAAGGTGCTCAGTGTTGGCTACAAGCGCGTGCACACTACGGCCTTACCGGGGGCATGAGCCCATGATTCCGCTGGGAACATTTTGGACATATCATGATAACAGTCACAATGTAACTCTAATGTTACTGATGTAAACATCACAGAATGATTTGAATTATTTCGAGTGAGCACATTGTGGATTAAATAGTGATATTATTCAGAAAGACACCAGGATGAGACAACAATTTTGCTCTGGCCAGCATTCATATAATATATTGGTATCATTTTGAATGGATCTTAAGGGTACATTACAAATGTGATCAATGTGATGTTACGATGAGTACCAGAATGCTTTCCATCATGTGCTGGCTGGAATCATTTTGAATGCATCAGGGATGTTCTAATATGGTTAGCACATTACTATATATAGTAATAACAATTATGCGATCATGATGAATCCATTGAGAACATCTTGAGAACATCATGGCCACTCACAGGTATCATTTGAGATTTTCTCCCAAGAAACATTTAGCATGCTATTGCAATAATGCTTAAATGCTGTCATCTGCAGCATTGGGGTCTCATTCTTGCATCTTTATGAATGCTATCAAAACTGTGCCACAATGTTGATGCTTAAAATATTTTAAAACATTCAAAATGATTTCAAAATGTATGTGCTAAAAACATTGCATAGACTGTTATTACAATGTGTCTAAAATGTTTTGGGCAAAATCATGAGCCCATGCCCCCAGTGCCTCCACATTGCAGGTGTTGTTAACATTCACTAGCACTGCCCAGCCATGGTTATTGAGAGAAGGTGTGATATAGACATGGTGACTGTGAGAATTAACGAGTGGGCCTCAAAGTGCTCGTGTCATACTGTCATCCCATTAGAGTGCCTTGCATACTCAAATGTGCACTACTGTTACAATGCATGAATGCATCCCTCATTACACAGTCGCAAAGCAATGGAGCTTGAACCACAACCACCATCTGCATCGACTAGCACCTGGGGGTCCGTCCCTGGGTTCACTGTTTCTTCTGTTCCTTCTGATGAAATCACCTTGCATACCTCCAACCTCACCCTGGCAATGCATCAGGCTGTCCAACCATGGCAGTCGCAGGGTCCCTCTGAGATGCTGCATGACATGGACTGCACAATCGATGCCACTTTCATGGTGAACAAGGCCATGCTCCGAGTACTCAACACTGCATATGCAAAGTACTGGATGAACTCCATCATGAACCCCCTCATGTTCCAATGCTTTAAGAAAGCACTTGCATCATACAGTGGTACCACAGAGGCAGGCTCCCCCTCTGCTACTGCCCAACCACCTGCACCCACCTCATCCTCTGGACCTGACCTCACAGTGGCCCTTCAGGACCTTCGATCTGCCCTCGATGCCAGGCTTGATGCTCTGGAGACTCAAATGGTGACTGTGACCCCCCCATCACAGATGAAGGCCCCCCCCTCCTTCCAGACCTCAGGTACGTGGCACTCCCAAGAAGCGCTCATATGTGATGGCAGCTGCAACATCTCGTCCAGCTCCTCTTATGATGACTTCGAACCCACCCACTTCCTCGAAGGCTCCTGGGCCCAAACATGCCCCAGAGCCCTTGAGGTATGTGGTTCATTTTGCTGGCTCTGTGCTGGCACACCTGCTTCAGATGCCCCCTGCCTAACTTGTCAGTGATGTGAACGCAGCACTGGCTGTGATACCAACTAATGTGCTACAGCACAGAGGTGCAACGGATGACTGCGAAGGGTCAACGTGACTGGTATGCCTGCATCTACTCGACACGGAAAGACCAGAGGGCTAAAGTGATGTGTACCATCACATCAGCAGATTGCATCAGAGTAAAGCCTCTCATATTCATATCTAAAGTGACATGTACTATCACATCACTGTGCTAAGCGTAAGTACATCTGTACGGTGCAGAACTATATGTAAAACCACATACGTGGATTGCACCAGGGTAAAGCCTCTGGGGCATGTGATGTACTCAATGTGAATATATATGCTGGCTGTCAAGTGTCTGAAGAGAAGTGAGTGTTGGGGAGCTCAAGATCGAGTGGGGTAAGCATATACTAAACTAGGAAACAATATGACCTGATAAGTACTATAGTGCTGGTGGCCCAACACCTGAAGGTGGCTGCAGATTACAAATCATGACACTCCCCCTCAAACCTTCACTAGTCTCATGGACACAGTGAAGTGTTTGGTCTTCAATGATGGGAGAGCCTTCATAAGGATGTCAGCGGTCATGTCCTTGGTAAGACAGTAAATGAGCGATATCTTTCCTTCAGCAATGGAATAATGAATGAAATGAAATTGGATGTTAATGTGCTTGGTGCGCGCATGGAATCAGTCATCCTTCAATAGCATGATAGTGGACTGGTTGTCAGAATGCAGAGGGATGAGATGCTCAGGTTCACCGAACAACTCTATGATGAAAGATCGAAGCCATAAGGCTTCCTTGCTAGCATGAGTCAATGCCACGTACTCAGCCTCCATAGTCAAAAGCATGACGAGGTCTTGCTGCTTTGAGGACCAGGAGACAGTGCCACCATTTAGCATGAAGACGTATCCTGAGATCACATGGTGTCCTTCCATGCTCATACCATCCACATCGAAATAGCCTATGACCTCATTGTCCTCAGATCCACCAAGAACCAGCCACTGATTTGCTGTTCCCTTGAGGTATTGATAAACACACTTAAGCGCATTCCAGTGTGCGATGCCTGGGTTCTGACCAAACTGTGCAAGCTGACTCACAGCAAAAGTAATGTCAGGACGCGTAGATACGGACACATACTGAAGTACTCCTAAAGCCTCCAGATAGGGCTTGTCATGCATAACAGTGTATTCTTCCATCATGATCAGACATTGGTCAGAGGAAAGTCGAACGTGCGGGTCCATGGGTTGTGGTGATGGCTTGGCATCAGTGAAACCATAGCGTGCAACTATCGACTCGATGTATGCGTGCTGAGATAGCACGATAGTATGTTGCACTCAATCCTGCTTAATTTCAATGCCCAGGAGCCAGTGAAGCTCTCCATTGTCAGTAATCTCCAGCTTCAATTTTATCATCCCCTTGAGCTTGAGGAGATTCACCAGAATTGAGCTGACAAGGGTTATATCGTCGACACTCATAAAGATGATGGTAAGTTCACCATTTGGGTGATGTCAATAGAATACGGTGTGGTCATGTTCTAATCGTATGAGTTTGAAGCTTTCCAGGATTCTGCGTAGCTTCGTGTACCAGCAACAATTAGATTGCCGCAATCCGTAAAGTGATACCTGAAGATGAAGCACTTGTCCAAGTACCAGGCCCTCAAGAGCGATGCCAAATGGTGGTCACATGTATATTTCTTCATCGTCGTGCAGCTTGCCATAAAGGTATGCACTCTTGATGTCGATTTGGTGAGCATGTCATCCATTCCAAGCTGCTACTGACAGTATAGTGTGAATGAAAGTGAGCTTACAAACAGCAGCGTAGATGTCGTCATGGTAGTAGTTGATGCCCTCTACCTGTGAGAAGCCTTGAGCACATAGGCATGCGTGGTAACTGGTTACATGGCCTCGCATGTCTCTCTTAGTGTGAAAAGCCCAAGTCGACCCTATAACATTCTTTCCTGATGAATGTGGTGGTGGGTCCACATAAACCCAGCTCTGTCTCGATTCTAGGTGACGAATCTCTTCTTGCATGACCTCTAGCCATGACGGCCAGTCTGGATGACACTTCACCTCAATGACATTTCGTGGATCGAAACCCATCACCTCAGAGGTTACTACTCCTACGGCATACGCAATGGTCTCGCTGAATGCATAATTGATAGCGACTTCAGTCAAGGCACCCTCAGCTCATCCCGACATGATGTTGTGCATCTTTGCACTCAGCAAGCAGATTTCTTGCCCATCACAACATTAGGATCTTCTGGCTTGCAAATTTCCTCAGGTGCTATAAAAGGAGTGAGAATGATAGGTGGTGAGGGAGGTGGAGCAGCATCAGAAACTTTTCATTCCAATTCTAAGGTAAACCCTATATCCATGTCATTATGCTCTCCCTCAATGCGTGGAGCCTCCTTGCTGAAGACGACATCATGCTCTATCATGATCGTCTTTCGAGTTGGCCAATAGATGTGATTCCTGTTCGACGAGTCGTCAAATCTGAGCCAGCGAGCCTCTACATCACGTGCATCTAGCTTCGATGTGTTATTGACTTTCACGAACATGATGTTCCCCCACGGATGCAACTTTGATACATCCAGCACATGACCAAACTGGACCTTATACGAAGTCTTGCTGCCCAGGGCACGATGCATGGTCTGATTGTAGATGTGCATGACATATGCCAGTGCCTCGCCCCACAGCCACTTGGGCAAACCTGAGCAGACAAAAGCTGCGTGAATGCTGTTAAAGATCATGCCATGCATTCACTCTGTGACACTGTTGTGTTCAGGGGTATCATGAACAGTAAGTTTTCTAATGGCTCCTGCGCATTCGAGGTGCGCTGACATATCGTCAGATAGAAACTCACCTCCGCGATCTGTCACAGTATTAAGTGGCACCTTTCTTTTTGCACCAATAAAGTCATCATTCAGCAACCACAAGTGGTTATTCAGACACCAACCTTCATATTGGCCTCACAAAGTGGATACTTAGACAAATAGCACAATACCACCACATACATCGTGGATATGACTATGTCTACCACATGACCACCAAGCGCCCATGATTCAGCCACCCAGTCACGTGACACTGGCCACTTGCCCTATTTGGAAGTTATCAGGTGTTGATCACGTGACACCAGGCCACTTGCCCAGAATGGAACTCTTTGGCCCACAATAGGCTTACCTGTGCTCATTGGACCATCAAGCTAGCAAGCACCCAATTTGCTGCTCAATAGCAGCACCAACTACATGGCTGCCAAATAGTAGCACCAGCATTAGAATATGCGCTATGGCAGAACCCCCCATTGGCCACTCAATAAGTGGCACCACTTCAGCCACTCAAATAGTGGCACCACCTTCAGGCAATTATCTCATTGGGTAAAGTAGGATTACCTTGGCATATCCACGGCCTTTATAGATAGTTGCTATAGCAAAAGTCCAGAACCATTACTGGTTTTTGCAATATGTTCACATGTAGACAGGACAGGACCCCAGTAAGTACACCATGGTTAGGGTATCAAGGGTCCACCACTACATGTATATAAGCACATAAGGATCTAAGGGAAGACCTTAGATTCGTTCACCTATTTCATGCGGCCTAACAGCCAATTCACCCCCTTGTTGTGAGCATAAGGCTAAGGGCCCTTTGAGCCCCTTTTTTTAGGCTGCATGTCACTGCATGCCTGGTTTGACCCTTCCTGGGCAAACCTCTTTTTTGTGCAGGTCACTGGATGCTGGCAAACACCTTGCTGTCATTTCCTTGCCTTAGGGCACAGGATCTAATGCGCCGTGACATGATCTGACTGTACAACCTTTACACGAGTACTGTTCTGCATTTGCAAACGTGCTTTGAATCTGATGAACTTGTCGAAGGCCTCGAATTTCAACCATAGTAATGGCATCTCGAGCCAACGCGTAGCGTCATCGACGATTGTGAGCACATAATGGCTATGGTTTACCATCATAACTGACACAGGTCCCCATATGTCTAGATGAACATGCTCACTGTAAGAAGTGGCAAGCGGAGACTGGCAGATAGCAGCGATAGGAGCACGGCATGCCTTCGCGACTAGGCACATGCGGCATTCGACCTCCTCGGTACATTGAGGATCTAGCCTGATGCCAGTGATGTGATGCTCATGAAGCATCGCCTTGATGTATCTGTAGTTCACATGTCCCAGACGACAATGAATCTCATGCAGCGATAATGAGATGAGAACTGCGAGCGATGCGCTCGCGTGAAAGATCTGGTAGAGACTGTCTGCACGAGGAACTGATCTGACAAGTACACTTTTTGAATTGGTGATTCATAGCTTCCCCTGATGACCTGTATAGCTGTAGCTGTCTTTCTCCAGTACCCTCAGCAACACAAGTGTCACATGCATAGCCAGCGCATACAAGACATCATGCAGATGCAAGTAGCGCAGCCCGTCCCAATGCTCAAAAGCAATGTCGAGATCGCCTATCCCGTTCACATAGAAGATCTCTGAATTTGCGGTGTGAATTTGATGCAGCACAATCATACAGTAATTCATTAGATAGTCCAAGTGCAGTGTCATATGCTGCGAAGCCCCTGAGTCAAAAATGTTGACTCTGCAACCCATTTCTGTCGCTGCAGCCATCATCTCGTGAGTGTTCGCTACGCGTATCTCAATCTGCTCTGCTAATTTAGAGCAATTGATGGTGGTTGCCTCAAGGCTAGTCACAGAGGTTATCACAGAGGTACTCTAGGCCTCCAAGATTACCACGCCCTGAACAGCTGGCTCTGTCCTCACAGAGAATGTGGTGCTATCCGTCGCACCATTCTTCGACTTCGTGGTAGCTGCCTTACTGTTGCTTGCACTCGTGGCAGCTTCAGTCTTCACCTTCGGGTGTTCCTAGTAAGTTTTTGTCGACAGACACTGCGCCTTGCAATGCCCCTTACCCTCGCATTGAAAGCAGGTTATCTCGTGTGACAGATTTTTGCCTGTCACAGTATTAAGTGACACCTTTCTTTTTGCACCATCAAAGTCCTCATTTGAGTGGTTATTTGGACGCCAACCTTCATATTGGTCTCACAAAGTGGATACTTAGACAAACAGCACAATGCCACCACATACATCACGGACATGACTGTGTCTACCACATGACCACCAAGCGTCCATGATTCAGCCACCCAGTCATGTGACACTGGCCACTTGCCCTATTCAGAAGTTGTCAGGTGTTGGTCACGTGACACCAAGCCACTTGCCCAGAAAGGAACCCATTGGACCATCAAGCTAGCAAGCACCCAATTCGCCACTCAAGATAGTGGCACCACTTTGCTGCCTAAACCAATAGGCAGATACCACAACAGAGGATCCCCCTACCAACCGGCATACAGTATAGCCAGGTACAGGATAGGCTAGATCTTCTCACAACCCTATCCAGATGAAGACTGATCATCACACTCATTGTTCTGAGTTTGGACAAGATCCTCTCATCTGATGTTGCAACCGTTGTGATGTGCCCTGTTGGCCATCACCCATTGACCCCTCAACTGTGAGCCCACTTACAGGCATTTATCTCATTGGATTAGATAGGATTACCTCGGCGTATCCACGGCCATTGTAGATAGTTGCTATGATGAAGTCCAGAACCATTACCGGTTCTGGCAATATGTTCACATGTAGGTATCTGAGGTCTCACAGTAGCACAGTGCCAGGGGCCCTGCCCTACATGTATATAAGCCCATGAGGATCTAAGGGAGAACCTTAGATTCATTATTCTATTGCATGCGGCCTAACAAGCCAATTCACCCCTTTGTTGTGAGCATAAGGCTAAGGGCCCTTTGAGCCCCATTTCCAGGATGCATACCACTGCACGCGTCCTCAGCCTAGCCCTTGTGGCAGGCTTTTTATGTGGGATCATTTGTGCAGGTCACAAAAGCAGACTTGCCCTTAATTGGGTTAAGTGCTTTGGTGCTTTGTGACATCACCACAAAGTCTGCACGTGACTTTTCTCATGCCACTCAGCCACAGATGTGACACGTAGAGATCAGGTGATAGTCCACATCACATGTTATGGTCCAGACCTGCAGATAATACGGTCGGACCTGTCTATTTCAGGATACAATAGAGGCACCCATTTGGGAACAAAGGGAACAAGGACTATTGTTACGCATCAGCCTTCCACTTCCTATTAGTTTAGCCAGAAGCCAAGATAGGCATGATGTTCACATCAGAGAACAAAAGGGAAATCAAGATAGGCACGATGTGCACACGCGTTACTGCGGCAACCATCGATCTTCCCACTTATTGTTCTACTTCCAGACATTCCATTGTTTCATGTATGGCCATTAGCTTATACCCGTAGATAGGTAGCTTAGGTAAGATAGCCCACTGTACATGTATATAAGACCAGCATGTAGAGGACGAAACTTCAGATTGTTCCTCCTTGTCTACCATTGTAGCATCTACTGAGCCCACAAAGCTCCTGCATATACTGTATCTCTCCACCCTTCCATATGCTTGCTTCACCAACAAGTGAGTGTTCAGCTCTCAAGCCAATATTGGGATCAGGGCAGCACATTCCACGTGACTGTCCATTTTTAGTCTCTTTGATCTCTTGTCCAGCGGTGCTGTGACATTAGAAACAATCTGACCATTTTCTGCACCCCTGCTTAGTGTCTAACATAAGTGGCCGCATATTTTCAGCACAAGCAGTTTCAGCCATAGCGCGTGGCTTTTTTGACACAACTTCCAATCCGATCTCTATCTGGCGTGAGCCTCAGCAAGACTCTGAGCTGCCCAAGGCACCAAAGTGCAAAGCCACTCCCAGGATCAACCTCGATGCTCACTACAAGCATCAGGAGACAAACAAGGAGCATGGAAGGCTTTTCACACTTGCGTCACTAGATGCATCATCCACAGACAGATAGCGCGCAGCAGCCAGGGTCATCGATACAACGCACATCATAAAGCGTGGAATCATCTGCAAGCCTCGTGATCACACCTCACTGCTCGAACGCTACAAGCCCAGAAAAAGACATCTCACCACCAGTAGTCACAAGCTGGCACCACCACCAGAGCTCATCACCTCTAACACCATTGCCCATCCCATTCACCCACTCCCATCCAGAGTCAGGCTGATGATCCACATCGAGATGCTCATGAAACAAGTGGACACTACTCGCTTTCAGCTCTAGCCCATCTTAGGAGCTTTCGCATATCGTCTCAAGGACGAGCATCAGGGACCTATTTACAGCCTTGCTACGGAACTTGACAAGGTCTGCGCTGACCTACACACTGGAACATGCACATACACGTTCATCGAGAAGCAGGTGATTAAAAGGTCTGTTTGGAGATTGAAGGGATCAGTTTCAAGAAGATAGGGAAAGAGGAAAGGCTGCAGGAGATCGCCAAAGCTTTGGTTTTCATCGCGAAGAAGTGATATCTCAACTTTTTGTACTAGTCTACGTACATATATCACAATGGAGGGAGCTGATCGTGCATATGCATCCATGTTCAGGCAAAGAATGGATGATATTTTTCATCCAGACATCGAAGCTGCACAAGGTGGCAGTACCCCACGTGCCTCCCAATGCAACTCACCAGAACCTGGGCTAGGACCCCAGGATTCCGCATCACAAGTTGGAGGACCCAGATTCCCGACACTATCACTTTTACCTGCCTATGTCCCTCCCATTTGGGAGTTTGATGGATACCAATTCGAGCATTTAGAAGATGCCCTCAGGCAATCTGCTCCTGAAGAAGTTCTGGACCACATCCATGAATGGGTCATAGTCGTTATGAAACTCACTGTCCACACGGAAGTCACAAAGGTCTATAATGTGCTCGGGAACAAACTGTACGAGCACAAAAGAGCCTTTAATGTGGTGATCCAAACTAACAAGAGCAAGCACCGGTTAAAGGAGGCAGTCATCCAAACTGAAATCGGAAAGCTCAAAGACAGGATTCTCATGCAAGATGTGCACATAACGGTTCTCAATGATGATCTCACAGGAACACAGGGAGCCATGCTAGACATGGGAAAGGAAATGATGGAGATGAAGGCAGCAAACACCAAGCTGCGGCACAAGCTAGCTTCACTCAAAGCAAGCAGCGTCTCAATGGTTCAAGGTCAAACATCTGGTACAGTCCAGCACAAAAACCCCACATCAAAATTGCTGAACCTCCACACTACTCTGGCAAAGGAAGTCTGGAGGACTGGCTCCAACAACTCAGCATATAGATGCAGTGGAATGAGATCAACGATGACGAGCATAAGATCACCATGGCACTGCTGCACTTGAAAGGTGGCACATTCACCTACATGTCAGAATATGCAACCAGAGCAGCGGCACGGCAATCACTTAGCACGTGGGAAGACTTCATCAACATTCTCAAAGTCAACTACAGGACACTCGACCCGGACAAAGATGTGCAACAACACTTGAAGGAAATCTGCGCAAAGACCTACCCTACGATGGTCTTCTTTGCAGAGAAGTTCCACCAATGGGCCACTAAGACCAACTTAGGGCACACAGCGCTTATCGGTTATATTGCTGAACACTGCGACAAGGATGTACATCAAGCAATGGTGATACGAGACAGTCTAAGAATCTCAGACCCGACCACATGGCCAGAATACCTCGACTTATGCCTCCAACTCGAGTCCAAGTTCAGAGCCGATAAGGCAGGTGTTATGAAGCATTCTCTGCTAGAACGTTCAGAACCACGTGTGCTTTCTCACACGTACTAGTCCACAATGTGAATGGAGACTTAGATATAGAATATACCTAACACCTCCAATAGTCAAGCAGACGCAGACTATTAGCAGGGTTTATAGTGTTGTCAATGCCTAGTAGACAATGGAGCAGTGAGGTCCTCACTCTACCCTTGCTAGGCTTTGGTCGCTACAGCTACTGCACATTCACCCGCAGGTTACTAGGTTCGCTGTTCTGACTCTAGCAAGCGTACGAGCTTACTACCTCTTGAGAGCGAGTACGATTGCATGAGGGTTCTAGAACTGAGAACGTTCAGAGTCACAGGTGGAAGAGGTTATCTTCCAGCTGTTGCTCTGCCCCTTTATATAGTCACAGACCTATAGTCTGGGGTACTAGTACAAGGGGTCTTCTACAGCTATTCATAGAGTAAATGAAATAGACTGAGACAAATACTAACCACTGCGAGCCAAGTAATTGGTGAGCTATTTGTCAGTATAATATGAAATAGAAACCTGAAACACGAAGGTCTTGTTTGCATGACCTGAGTGAGTAAATCGTGAAAGCGAAAAACTGCTAACCCTAGAATATGTCCACAAGATCTATGAACCATAAATAGTAAGTGTCACGTGCAATGTAAACTGTCACATGACCATGAAGCGCTGAAACTGTAACAGCAGGACAGTGCGGAACAACGGCAACATCATCGACACCATGAGCCTCGAAGGACCCTAACGCAATGGTTGTGGATCGAGTATCCACACTCACCAAGGAACAGGAAGGATGGCTGGAAAGGAAGCTGTGCGTACGATGCGAGAAACACTCCTTCGTATTTAAACAGCACTGCTCGGACCCCAAATATAAAGACAAATTTGAGATGCCAAAGAGGGGCCAAGTGACAAGGGTGATATCGACACCAGCAGCATTAAGCAGTTCCAATGATGACAAGGTGAGAGAGGAAGCAGTCTGCGCTTTCATCGCCAGCTACGACGCAAAGGGAAAGGAGAAAGAGGTCAAACTGGAACCAGCTGTCAAAGCAGCCAGGATCACGGAGGTGGAGGATGATGAGGATTTTCTGTAACAGGTTCTCTGAGGTCTGGCCAGAGTTTCCATAAACATTGTAACAGTACCTACTTGATCTCACATGTACCAGTATCAGATTTTCTATACATTGCATCAACTGGTTCGTCAAAACACGTGATCGATTTACCTGTTCACCTCAAACAGGGAGTAAGGGAAGTCCAGACTGAGGCACTCCTCGATTCAGGAGCATATTCCTGCTACATCAACCCACGGCTGGTTGATCAGTTGAATCTCGCTACGATCTCACTTGAGAAAGAGATCAGGGTTTATAATGCAGATGCATCTCAAACAAGGGTGAAACCATTAAGAAAAGGGTTCTTCTAAGTATAACTATCGGAAACCACACAAGCAGACAAAGTCTTCTGGTTACCAATATAGGTCACAAGGACTTTATACTAGGCATGAGTTTCCTCAAGGAGCACAACCCAGAGGTAGATTAGGGAAAACTCACGGTCAATTTCACCCGATGCCCACATAGATTTGCACCCTCACAGGTAGCAGTCCAGGAGGAGGACCTGGAAAACACAAACATCCCCCACATCGAAGATCTGATGGAGTTCATCAGTTCCCAGGAGTTAGGTGACAACTGGAACAACATGGACAGCTTCATTAGATGGGTGTCATTATCAGAAGACCCTGATGCACAAGCTGTAGCATCACTCATTATGGGCCTTGACATCAAGAGAAATCAGGATATAATGCCACAAAAAGGAGAACAGGACAAAGACTACTGATCAGCCTATGTCCCCAAACACTTCCATGAGTATGGCGATGTGTTCTCCAAGAAGCAGTCAGAACGAATGCCCACAAGAAAGCCCTACGATCATCCAATTGAACTTGTTCCAGAGGCATCGTTATCATGCCCAGCAAAGCTATATCCTATGAACCTACAGGAAAGAAATTCACTCGACACGTGGATAGACCAAGAGTTGGCCAAAGGATACATCAAGAGATCAAGGAGTCCAACAGCAGCACCCGTCTTCTTCGTCAAAAAGAAAGACGGATCACTGAGGCTCGTACAAGATTACAGGAACCTCAACGCAGTCACAAAGAAGAACAAAGTCCCAATCCCATGCATTTCGAACCTCATCGACAGACTCTCACATGCTAGCATATTTACGAAGCTTGATCTGAGATGGGGGTTCAACAACATAAGGATTAGGGAAGGAGACAAAGAAAAAGCTGCTTTCATCACACATCGTGGCCTCTTCGAATCCACCATAATGTACTTCGGTTTCTGCAACACTCCCAGCACCTTCCAAACAATGATGAATACAGTCCTCGAAGACTTAATTTGCACTGGAAAGGTGGTAGTCTACTTAGACGACATCCTCATATTTATGGACAATCTCGAAGAACACCAACGACTAGTAAAAGCAGTTCTACAGCACCTCCGGGACAATGACTTATATGCCAAACCGGAGAAATGCTTCTTTGAACAATCCTCAATCGAGTATCTTGGCATGATCATCAGCAAGAACTCGGTACAGATGGACCCTGCTAAAGTCGAAGGTGTACTTGGCTGGCCTGCACCTGCTAAGGTCAAACAAGTACAGGCCTTTTTAGGATTCATGAATTTCTACAGGCGATTTATAAAGGACTTTGCGAAACTCACACGACCTTTAATGCTTCTCACCTGCAAGGACGTGCCCTGGCAACGAAAGGAAGAGCAAGACCAAGCCTTCAGTGCACTCAAAATGGTGTTCACCTCAGCCCCGATATTACACCTCCCCAACGACACTGCACCATACCGTCTGGAGATCGATTCCTCAGACTATGCAACCAGTGCAGTACTCGAACAACTGGGAGAAGACAAGCTATGGCATCCAGTCGCATACTACTCAAAGTCACTCAACGAACATGAGAGAAACTATGAAATTTATGACAAGGAAATGCTTGCAATTAATCGGGCACTAGAAGAATACCGGCACTACTTAAAAGGACACCCAGAACCCATTGAGATTTGGTCAGACCATCTCAACCTTACATACTTCCATCAGACACAGAAATTATCCCGGCGCCAAGCATGCTGGTCATTATTCCTCACACACTTTAATTTTATACTTAGTCACTGACCTGGAAAGACAATGCTATGTGCCGATCCTCTGTCCAGGAGGCCAGATCATGAGAGGGGGGTAGACAGTGACAATTCGAACCAAATGCTGTTAAAAGCTGAATTTTTCGCTATCAATGCGATTCAACCTGCTCACGCATCTGAAGTTGATGATGCTCAACTACTGAAAAGGATCAAGAAGGCACTCACAGACGACACGATGACCAAAGATTATCGTGCACTTTTGACTACAGGACAGCGTGAATTTGAGAAAAACCTCACAGAATGGAACTTTGAGCATGGACTGCTACTCCATCGTGGAAAGGTTTATGTTCCCAAGGATCAACAGCTATGCCTAGACCTAATAAAGCTCCATCACGATACGTTACCAGCCAGACACCCAGGCAGATTCCAAACATTGGAGCTTATTACTCGAAACTATTGGTGGCCAGGAATGTTGGTAATGGTTAAGCAATATGTACAAGGTTGTGACAGTTGTCAATGCAACAAGTACTCAAGAGAAAAACCATTCGGACTATTACAACCCAATGAGGTACCAGGAGGACCATGGGAGATCATCACAGTTGACCTCATCACACAACTTCCTCCAGCCATGGACTTTAGGGGAGAGAAGAAGATGGCAATACTTGTCATCGTAGACAGACTCACGAAACGAGCGCATTTCTATGCAACGGATGACACAATCACATCGTCACAAGTCGCTAACGTTTTCTATAATGAAGTCTTCAAACTCCACGGATTGCCGCACCAGATTATCTCAGACAGAGGTACTCAATTTGCGAGCAAGTTATTCCAGGAGTTTTGCCAGAAGCTCAGTATAAAGTCAACAATGTCAACTGCATACCATCCCCAGACAGATGGTCAGACAGAAAGGGTTAATCAGGTGTTGGAGCAGTATCTACGCATGTACTGCAACCACAGACAGAATGATTGGGTCTATTACCTGCCAACAGCAGAATTTTCATACAACAACCAGACCCATGAGTCCACTGCACTTTCCCCATTCTTTGTCAAATATGGCCAACATCCAAAAATGGCACCAGACGTACACAAATCAATATGTCACCCTTCATTGGAACATTTATTCGCCCACCGATCCGAGGCACAAGAACAGGCAAAGGCAGCATTGGAAGTTTCAGCTTCACGAATGAAATGGTACTTCGATGAGAAGAAGGGAGAAGTCCCATTCAAAGTTGGAGACCTAGTACTACTCAAGGGAAAAGACCTCAGAGTAAAAGTCAAATCTGCGAAGCTAGGCACACAAAATTTCGGACCTTACAAGTACTTCAGAAGCTAGGGCCAGTCACATTCAAACTGGAACTGCCCAAGCAAATGAAGGTCCACCCAGTCTTCCATGCTAGCAAGTTGATCATGTACCATCAAGACACAGTCACACACCGCGAACCCCTAAAGCCCCCAGCCATAAAAATCGAAGGAGAACTAGAATTCGAAGTTGAAGAAATACTAGACTCGAAGGTCGTGAGGGGAAGGGTCCAATACCTCATCAAATGGAAAGGCTATGACCATTCCGACGATACATGGGAACCCCGAACAAATCTCACCAATGTTGACGAGCTTCTTCAAGAATTTCACCAACAACACCCAGATGCAGCCAAGACACCAATCAGCGTTGTTACATGTGGTGGGAAATGCTTCGAATTATCCTTGTACGAAGTTGCACCATTATCCACACACCGGATCAACATGTTCGACCACCCAGATGAGTTCTTCCTATATCACAAAATGACAGACAATGCCAAATCACCGAAAAAAATCCTCGAATGAAGCAGCAGGATGGGACATTTACGTGGCAGAAATGCATGAAATCCCTCTGCATTCACAGGCTGTGATAGGAATGAGAGTCACCATTGACCCTCCCAAGCATACCTATATATGAATAGCTCCACGCAGCAGACTGGCTGCATGAGGAATTGACGTGGGCGCAGGAGTCATTGACCCAGATTACACCGGAGAACTCAAGGTCGTACTGATCAACACGACGGATATCATATTTTCAGTCAAGCCAGGAGACAGGATAGCCCAACTAATCTTCGAATATTATGCAGAAGGGCTTCTCTTCAGGAGCTATCAACCGTTGTGAGCAACTAGAAGGGGAAACAAAGGTTTTGGCTCCTCGGGACAATGAGCCTTGAGAGGGGGGTAGTGTCACAGATTTTCATCACAAAGTCCACACGTGACTTTTCTCATGCCACAGATCACGTGCTTCACCAATATCTCATGCCACTCAGCCACAGACACGACACGCAGAGATCAAGTGATAGTCCACATCATATGTTATATGTTATGGTCCAGACCCGCGGATGATACAGTCGGACATGTCTATTCCAGAATACAATAGAGGCACCCATTTGGGAACAAAGGGAACAAGGACTATTGTTCAAGATCATCTAGGCAATCAGCTCAAGGTATAGCCGTTACCATGATAGGATGGATTGTCTCACCGTTGCCATGGGAGTACATCGATCTTCTCACCTATTATTCTACTTACGGATAGATTCTCCCACTTATTGTTCCATGTATAGTTTAGTCGCCTAGATACGTAGATAGCCAATCATCTATTTTGTAGTAGTGGTACGATGAAGGTTATGTAATCAGGCTCCTATACACGTATATAAGACCAGCATGTAGAGGACGAAACTTCAGATTGTTTCTCCTCGTCTACCACTGTAGCACCTTACTGAGCTCACCAGCTCTTCCATATTCAGTATCTCTCACCCTTCCCACTGCTTGCATCGTCAACAAGTAAGTCTTGGGCTCTTGCGCCACATAAGGATTCAGGGGGACTATTGGAATCAGGGGGGTTAGGGCGGCAGATTCCACGTGACCAGTCCTTTTTAGTCTTTTTGATCTCTTGTCCAGCAGTGCTGTGACATTGTCTATCACTCATTTCCTTTTGTTCTCCTCTCAAAACTTGAGGAACATGTAGCTAATAAGCTAAGCTTTGATGTAAGACTCATAATCGTAGCCTAATGCAAATACAGAAGCATGAAAAATCATAGATTGTGAGGTTTCAGTTTCACATCCACATAAAATTCAATGAGATTGGAAGCTGGTGAACCCACCACTCAGCACATTCCCCTCATTTTTAGTGTAGAGTAGCATAGATAGCATATTGACATTATTGGCAACGCAGAGGGCAGATGGAGACAATTCGGGGGAGCTAGTCAACTTTGTCTCATTGATCGGGGGTGTCTCATTGACCGGTTGATGACTGTATATCATGCATCAGCGCCTTAGCGCTGGGATCCGGGAACTTTAAAACCAGGTGACCCTGTGCCACATACACATGGCAGACATGATGTGATTTATCAATGTGGGAAATTGTGTGTGAATGTCGACTGATTTCTTACACATGCGACAAATATTTGCAACCATGGCATTTCATGTTGAAAATGTTTCACTTTGGCTGTGAATGTGCACTATTTGCCGTGTAAATGCTAAATTGGCAAAGCTTTGCCACAAATGTAAGACATCAGCCGACATTCCCACACGATTTTCCACATTTATAGGTCGCGTCACGTCTGCCGTGACACGGTCTACCCATGTCCATCGCTGAGCCCTTGCCACCCTCACTATCCGAGCTTCTTGCAGAGCGTTCCAAGGCTTGCGCTCGTTATCCCATCGACTTTCCTCACCAATGGCGCACAAGCCGTGCAACGCCCTCCCTGCTCTCTCGCTTGCTTGGAAGGTCCCCTCCCGACACACCTCTAGCCTCTTTCTACCGCATCTACGAATTCTTCGTGCTCGAGTGGACCACAGCAATCCGGAACGAACTCGAGTACTTCTGCGGGACGCATCCTGACTGGTCTATCTCTGCGCTCCCTGATCCGGCAGACCCCGACCCGGTGCGATATGCAACACTAGCCGTGCTTACGCGACTCATGTGCGATGCATTCAACCGTCGTATTGAGCTGGGGCTCCCGCGCAACGCTCCAGCCATCATCCTCGATTTTGAAGAGCTGCAGGCAAGGCCGAAGGTGTACGAGCGGCCACCGGCGTGGGCAGAACGTGTGCCTCCGCTGGCAGAGCGCGTCTTCATTCGTGATGCACAGGGAAACGCGCCGGTGGAAGGAGAGTCAGATATTAGTGAGGAGTTCGAAACCATGAATATCATTGTCAGGATGCCACATATCCATTTCATCTGACTTCGCCAAGATCTGCAAGCGGTCTTGATGGTTGTTCGTTCGTGATCTGTTTTGTGTGTTCACCGATCTGACACGCTATTGACAGGTCTCAATGCCCTCCGCCTCCAGCTGGTCGCGTGATTTTGCGTGCGCTCCTCTACCATTTCTACGAGCACCGTACCGAACGCCATATGCCATGTTACGTTGGCTGTTTCAGTTACCCCGAAAAGATTACATCGATATTTCAGGCCAATACGTGGTTCTGAGGAGCATTTGTGAGAAAATGCAAGTTATCTCACAAAAACTACTATGATTACTGACACTTCGATGCCCTCAATAGAGCGAGATGCGATCCTTCACAATGCGATTCGCTGCCTCGATCCTGTCTGTCTCGAAAGTGTGAAGCTCGCAGGTGAATGCACTCGTGCGCGTGAGGAGCCAGCGGGCAATACTCGATGTCGAGTTAATGAGCCGGAGGCTTCATAGCAGAATATTACGGGAAGGGTTCATTGCCGCGACCGGCGGGGACCAGGGTGAGCAGCAACCCTCTTCGAAAATACAGAACCAAGACAGCGTTCTAAGCACGAAACGGAGGGTTTCAACAGGGGAATAGCACGAGTTGGGATACAGCTTCGCGATGAAACAAATTGACCTAAAAGAAGACAGGAAAGAGAGACGATGATTCTAGTTCATAGTGCCATGGTATTTAATCTAAGATATGGCCAAGCGGGGTAAAAGCAAGTTGAAGCTGCAGTCAGTCGATGGACACGTACAGCAGCAGTTGGCACACTGTGACGCCACTAACGCGCTTCCCCGCACAATCAAGAAGGCGTCAATTCAATTTCGATTGCTTCGACCGCATCGGATATAAAGCGGCGCGTTGTGGCCCCGCCGAGTGGCGTGCGCGCTTTCGAAAAAGTGAAATCACGGCGCTGCATCTGGATCAAACTTTCGACAGGGTCATGATGACGGCAAGGGAACGTCGGCTTGCATTCGATGACCTTGTGGTATCTTGCTAAATTCTGCGACTTTTGTCGACAAAGTCGTCAGGCAAACGCACGCTAGTCTGAGCCAGCTACATTATGCATCTCTCTCTTATCCACGCACCGAATTGCTTCCGTTCCCACCACGCCATATCGAGTCGATTACAAACGTTTCTCGGCAGAAGACCAGTCAGGACTCAGTTCGTATAATCCTCCCTTGGTTGTGACTCGTGAGTATCCCGTCAAAGGCACCGCACGTACAAGTAATCGCATAGTACGTCTGCGACTACAACTACAGATTAGTTTTCTACTGATTAGCAGTAGTACATAGGATTTGCACTCAGTGTATCATGTTTCGACGGCTCACCAGATGGAACTACTGCGGACCCACCGTTCAATGGAATACGTCCTCCGAGGTCAATTCTGATGCCGAATCCGAGGGAATCGGTCAGCTTCTCTATCCGGACGAGCCCCAGGAGATGAGTGCTGCGGAGGAAACGATTGAAGAAGATTTGAAGCAAGGACAGAGGTCCGCCGAGAAGATGTTGCGCAGGCAGCGGGAGGAGATTAGACAGCTCAGGGCAGAAATCGTGAAGAGAGACCAGTTGCTCGATCAGAGGGCATTGGACGGAGGAAAGCAGGAGTTCGAGCTAGAATATGCCCGGCGCTTGCTGTTGGATGCGCAGAGCTCGGTGCGAAGGCTCAAGAAGACGATAGTGCAGCTCAAACGAGAGAACAATGCTCTCACTCAAGAAAAGGAAGCGGCCTTTGCGTTGCTACGAGCCCGAACAGACGAGCTCCGCGCCGCAGGGGCGTATCACACCAAAGCCGATATCGCTTCCGACGCGGACGTGCTCCGCATGGTGGAGCAACTCAATGCAGAGATCTTCTATATTTCCTCCCAAATCGCAGACATTTGCCGATCAACGGAATACCCTATCGACAGCAACATCGTAATTGACGGAGCAGTTTATGAGCTTATCGGAGTATCCCTCGTTGGCGCGCTCAAACAATACGCGGGGCAGCCTGAGGCGCGTTGCTTGCTCGTACAAGTCGCACTGCAAACTTGCATGACCCAGCACACGGAACAGCTCATTCACGATTGGGCTGTCAGCCCCGGGGTTGGAGTGGACAGCGAAGTCCTCCTTGATGGCATCTATAATAAAATGTCACTCGCAGGTGAGCGTCTGTTCCGCTGGTCGCTATAGATCAACTGTTTTTGAGCGATCACTTTGATCACAGAATCTCAGCCCGTCTCTGGAAGGTGGCAATCCCTCACGAAGCGACACTTGAAAGCGTCCCTTTCCGATGCCATCGATGCTGCCACGCGAAGACTTGCGCGGCTGGTCTCAGATACCGTACGCATCGTAGGAGCTTTGGATAATTCTATAGAGACGATCGACGGCAAATATGGCTCCACACTGCGCGGTATCACCTCTCAGGCTCTCCCAATCCAGAAGACTGTTGTAGAAGAAATTACATCATCTGCTTTCGTACCAGGAGTGCCTCGCCTCGGTGGCAAAGTCGATCTCGAGCAGATGGAGGATGAGTATGCAGAGGACGGCAGCACGACCGAAGGGGATGCACCATGTGTTCTCTGCACGACGGCTCTCGGCCTTTGGCGTCTTGAGAGACACGCAGACGATTCCGCAGCAGGAGGTCACCAGTTGATTAAGGTCGTCCTCAAGCCCAAGGTCGTCTCAGACAGACTTCTGCAAGAACTTCGCGGACTTGCGAACCTGGACTAAGATGGTTGCATGGATAAGTCATTCTATGGAAGTTCGCGGCCGATGTGCAGCACTGTCTAGAGTCTGCATTGGGATACGATGGAGATGACATGAAAATGGTTGTACTTAAGGATCAATGGAAACAGGAAGCTTTACTTTTACTTCATCTTTTTGACGACCTCTGACATTGTGTTAGTATCTCAATGCCTATCACGTGCGCACGGGAAACATGAGTATCTTTCAATGAAGGTGCGTCTTGAAGTTAGTCAAGCTGAGAACGAGCATGATACAGAGGAGACGCCGATAGCTACCCCCAGCCAGACCGTAGGCCAATTACTGCGGAACACAGGAAACGTACCCAACTAATTGGCCATATACAACGGTGCTGTATATTCATCTGGAACTTGCTAACTCACTTTCTTCTAGACACATAGTGCATGCTAATCATTGGAGCGCAAGATTCTGAGGCACTTGTCTAGCATCCATCATGATCTTTTTCAACGGATAATCGATGGCCTTATCTTATGCAGTGTTTCTTCAATGGCACGCACTGTAGACCGACTTACCATGTCTCGGAATACTCCTCAAGCACAATGACAAGAGCGCCCACACAGAGGACAATGAATAGCAGCGTATGGCCGTCATTATGCAAAGATACACGTACGTACACGTGGGCATCTATGTCCATGAATGACAGATACACACGCTGTCATGAATTTGCGAGGAGTGACAGTGAACAGGCGGTTTGCAGCGATGGCATCCATTTCTGTTACAGCACGGCGCGCATCGACGACTTTGAATATGGATTGACTTTTGTTCGTGATTGCGACGCACCTTTTCGCCTGCGGGAGTGAAGAGAGGTGTGAGATAGCTGAGTTGTATATCTTATTATCACGATCATGAGCTTCGTGACGGTGGGTGTTTACGGGAGGGGAGGCTCAGCGGCGTCCGGTCCGGCGCTTTTTTGAGCACGTAAGTCACGCCACAGACGCGTCCCACTGGGCATCGCATCATCACTTTAGCGGACGCAAAGCTAGCATTATAATTGTATTCCATCAATCTTGTCCAGTAACATCGAATATTACTATTTATTAACGAGTCTGACCTAAAGGTCGCTGTCACACATTTTTTTCAACATTACATGACTCAACGTGTTATCATGGTACGACAGGCGCTAAGGCTCCGAAGGTACCCCTCCGTCGCCCACCATGTTTGCATAGCTCGCTCGACGGCAGCATTTGCATCTGGGGATCATATCCGAGGCAGAATTCGACGAACTCTTCTACTTGATCAGCCCCAGGGGATGAGCGCTGCGGAGGAAACGGCTGTCGACGAATTGACTTACCTAAAAGGATGAAAAGTGTACGCACGGAAACCCCGCTCGATCAGCCTGTACAGGACGACTGTCCAGATAGGAGACTGTTTCGACCTCTACGATTGCGATAAGTCGACCTCGCAGAAACTTTACCGGAAGAATCTTCGATGGCGGTGCCAAGCAATATTCACAGTGCTTCGGAGAGGGATACGTTGCATGATGTTTATGGCCTTTATAACATTTCCCTACCGTCAGAGAGATACAATTAAAACTATGACTACTCATAAGCACTGCACCGAAGCGTCTGTCAGGCAGCGGTTCGAGCACTGCTATGCTCCCTTTTAGCATCGATGGGCGAGAACGCCCTATGCATGACACGGTCAGAATCCCGTGAGAAATCCACATTACTACGAACGCAACGTCCCTTTTCTGGTATCAGAAGCCTGGACGATCATGCTACTGCATCGACGCCATCATACACTGGAACGGCCTGGCACCTGTAAAAGGCATACATCATTTCTTTCCTGTCACCCGAGCGTACGACGGCTTACCTCTTCTCCACGCCCTGAGAAACCCGCAAGGTCATGTCAGTATAGTCAGGATTGGGGTGAATTCAGGAGCAGCGCAACGCACATCCTCATCCCAGCTGAGGTATGCCTTCAGTTCTGTCAAGCCAAAGGCAAGGATCACGCGGAAGCTCTGCCGGTAAAATACTCCAGCCGGACCATCGACCGGAAGGTGTGGCACGTGAGACGTGTCTCCAACTACCCTGCACAGGACTGAGTATGTGTCTGGAGCTAACTGAGTTAGTTCGCCTCCAGAGACGTTCGCTGATCAATGCAGACCTGGGTCGACGTCCAACCAACGGGGATTACGGGAGTTGCCCCTGTAGCAGATTATATCCGTCTGAACCTTTCCCAATTCTAGCGGGTTGCGCGCATCAAACACCAAATTCTGCGAGAACTCCTTCTTCTCGGAGACGCGCGTTCCCTGTTCCACATAAGTAGCTATCGCAAAATAAACATACAACCACACACTTTGTTTAGAATGATGAGGAAATTGTCTGGCACCCTCGGTTCCCCAGCTTTACCAATAAACACTTTGTTGAGCCGCCTGAGATGCTCCGGATCCGAAGGATTGTACTGTATATTGCACCTCGCCCCATACGTGAATCTCGCAACACGGGAGGTGACAAAGCCATCAAGATAGAAGGACACGGCCCCCTCTGCAACAGCCTTGTTGCTGAACAAGAATAAGCGGTCAGCATCAACGCCGGGTATCCGAGCAGAATGAAACGCTGCACATACGTGTGTGTGTCCGGCCGAGCGAACTTGACATAAAGATTTTCCACGTAGATCTTCAACTGTGAAAACAGCCAAGGGCTTGCAGCAAACCCGCCGACAAGGAAGACCGTCTATCCAATACACGATGAGCTGCGCGATGTCGAAAAGGCATCGCTGTCCTCACCGAAACCGAGGAATCAGCGCCATCCAGTTGTCGACGTACGACTTCTTTGATAGCAATGATAGATGGCTCAAACATCGAGGCAACGTCCGCTCTAACAGGGTCGTGAGCGCGTATAAATCTTCCTCGGTATACGTCGACATACCCAGACAAAGTAAGCTGTCCATTTCGTATTCCGACACTCGGATCTCGATCTCGCATTGATCCGAACTTGATGTACGCCATGTCATCGGCAGATCTGAAGACCAACTTAGTTGTCTTATCAAATTGATTGCGCATCTCGTCAATATCCTGAGCGTTGCCAAATCGAGAATTGGCTAGCTTCCCTGTGTACATGGTCAACGACCACATAGGAAAATGATATATCTCGAATGTCACTTTTAAGAAAACCATGCGCCCTGGATGTTACGATTGCTGATCCATGGTACAGACCTGTCCCTACATCAGTGAACTGATCGAACGACTGGAAAGAACACACTAACATTCCGAAGCAGCAATTTCCTCCATCGTCACCCTCTTACCGGCGACTATTGAATACGTGTTGATGTCAACAGTACCTCCACCGGCGTCAACGACCATCACATTCTGTCCGTTCTGGAAAAAGGATTGTTCAGACACCAATGTTCCTTGGAATTCCTGGCTTCTCACCTGCATAGCCTCAGTAGCAAGACCATTGCTAATGCAAAAGTGCACGCTGGCCTCACCCTCGGTGACGAATCGGATTTGAGGGCTGGCGGCCTGTGAAACAAGACCAGCCTTCGCAGCAGCTTCGCGCATCTTGCTCTGCTGATGGCCACCCCACCCGTTAGGATGGCTCAAAACAAAGTCGATGTGCTGTTGAATGCTGGCCCATAGCAGGTCCCCGCTCGCGTGCGTCTCGGTGATGTAAGTGCGCGCGCATTCAAAGAGATATTTCATGAAGTCGGAATAGACATCAATAATAGCCTTCGTGGGCGGGAGAGCAGAGACGACTTTGAGGCGTTCGACATCCGCTCGAGACGCGTCCACTTCTGCCTGTGGGCGCAAGTGCAACTTGAACCTGTAAAGGGAACGCGTACTTAGACGGATTTTCATTGTTGGGTTGATCAGCATGCTTGCCATTCGACTTTGATCCAGTTATTGTCTTCCGCCTCGTCTCTGATGTGTGGAAGAAGCGCCTCCGCGCCGACAGCTTTGACGTTGCCATCTTTGCCGTAGTAGAGGATCGATGGTATCTTGGAGTCACTTGCATTATTTTCCTGTCCAGGAAAGCTTTCGATGAAAAGTGGGCACCATCCGATGGAAGCTACAGTTGCAGATATATATCCTTACCGCCGTATCCCGAGAATCTGCGGCACCTGTCCGGGATCGAGGATGCTGTAGCTGACACCGCTGAAAGTCGTTCCTATATCAAAAGCGAGGACGAGTCTACGCCGAGGACCGGTATACGGTACTCTGGAAGGAGGCATCTTGGACAGTGAGCCTTCAAGCTTCGCTACTCGACTTCAACGCGTGGTTTGAGAAGAAGAATAATCATGATATTGACTACGGCGCTTAAGCAGTTCATAATAATTAGCGCCACGTGACCGTGTTTCTCTCTCCAGCACGCTCAAGCAGGCCTCACTCGCCACAGGACTGAGTAGTCGAGAGGTAGTATTGGAGTACGTGTGTAAACCCACTTGTCGATGGTTGAAACGTTGATGGTTGCTGAAGGATAATTTCACAGTATCAAGGAGCCCGCCTCGAGAACCTTGGGGGTCCCCGGGTCATATTCCGAACTATCTCAGAGTATCGACTGATTCTCAGGTGCAATACGCAATATCCACACCTTCCACAGTCACGATACTCGCCCATCTAACGAGATAACAACTTATTCAATGCTCTACGGTGCCAGTACGCTTGGAAGTCCGACATCTGGAAGCGATAGTTCTGTAGACACTGAGTCCAGTGTAGAGATCGCATCAGACGAAAAGGAACGTAGCGACCCTGACGTCGGTCACGGTCAAACTGTCTCATACGTGAATTTCGGCCGACCCAGAGGAAATTCGAGCTCGCCGAACGCGTTTCCAGATATGTCGCAAGGAACGCAAGAGATAGCAGAGCCGACTCGGAAAGACGAAAGTGATAGAGGGAGACGAGAACCGAGGGAGCAGAAGAGGAGACGGCAGGATTCCAGCCCGGCATCGGAATCTGCGTCTTTTTCTACAGACTGGACGCTATCAGAGGCGACGAAGGCAGTCCCCATGACGCAGCATCATCTTGATGAAGCAATCAGATACATCCACTATCAAGAAGGTATCATCACTGGCTTACAGAACGAGCTGAAAGCGCTCACGATCAATCACCAAGACGCCGTCGAACTGCTCAACACGCGCACGGCCGAGCTGCACGCAGCACAGACATTCCTCAGCAAAACCGACACGGTGTCTGACTCCGAAATCCGCCAGGCCATCGAGCGGCTCAATGCTGAGATACATCAAATCGCTGCTGCAGTATCCGACTCGATCCCATATTCTTCAGACAAGGGTCAGAACGTATCACTCTCACAACGCACGCTTGATAATCTTGCGGCGATTCTCGGGAAACCTCTGTTCGAGCGATTGAAAGCTGTAGCAGCCGATGACGAAGCTATAGTCCAGATCGCTCTCCAGGCGCGTATCTCGCGCTTCGCCAGCAATTATTTGCAGTCTTTCGGGAATTTCGATGAAAACAACAAGGCCTTGCGTTCAGTGTGGCAGAGCATCAGAGGAGCGGGTGAGTATTTGTCGTAATTTCGATCAGTGATAGCGATGATGAGATGTCTTTCAGAAACACAATCAGTGTCCGGGCGGTGGCGAGCACTAGCGCGACAACACGCAAAGAAGGTTCCCGAATTCAACAACCCTAGCCCGGTGAAGCTGCGCAAGGCCCTCGCAGCACGCATCATAGAAGTCGTGAAGTCCACTGGCATTCAGGAAGACCTAAACGGACTGTCGTGGCAGCTTCAAGAACGATTCGGCTCCAAGCTCGACGCCATCGTTCAGCTGATACTCTCGATTCAGAAAACCATCCTTGAGGATGTTATCGCATATGATTTTCATCCAATTATCGCCTATCCTGGCCATCCTTTCGATGGTACATTGATGGAGGACGAGTTCGAAGACAGGTCAGAGGGCTCGAAGGACAAGGCGGGACCCGCGCTGTGCGCTGTAGCTCTTGGCTTAACGCGCAACGAGATGGTGATGGAAGACGGGCAGCCGGTAGAAAGACGTACGATTGTGTTGAAAACGAAGGTCGCGATGGAGTGTGTCCTTAAAGAGTTCGAGCAATCTGAATAGGTCAGTCTGACTACGATTAGCCTAGTCCGGTACGTGTGCTCAAGTAAAGTGTAGCTTACGCCGCTGAGATTAGTGTCAATATCAAAGTCTAGGACAAGCTTGCAGTGTACCCAGATAAGGCTTCTTCAATACACTGCATAACACCGGCGACCGACTCAGCAAATCCCGGCCGTGGCCTCGACGGCAGTTTATTGGCGCTAATCAGCTCGCTCCAACGAGAATCACGTTGTGACGTTCGCAGCTACTTTTGGTAGTTGGTGGCGTCACACGAGCTAGAGCGTCACGTGCCAGGAATAGACAGGTTTCAAGTATCTGAAATTCCCGTAATACGAGCGCTGCCCTACACGAGAGGATTCGGGTCTCCTTATATACGTAGAGATTACCTGTAAATTTTACGGGGTTCAACTAGAAGTAGGGCAGTAAAGAACGTGAAACGAATGAGTAACGAGCGGGGGTTGGCTAAATAAGGAAATAACAGAGCTACCTCTGAAACGAGGTTGTGGCTAAGAGAACCAGTCTCGGCGCTCTACGGAGCGCGCCGTTACATACGCCCTCCAGCCATCGTATACGATGGATTAGCGTAAGTCAATTGGTGTCCATGCGGTTAGCCTCGACGACGTCCTTGTTCTTCTCCGCAGTGGCTCGCGCTTTACGCGTGATTTTATTGACGGTGACCGAGCTTCCCCGAGGCTGGGCCGAGGCGATCGGCGTTACCGTGGATGGGCCGGAAGCGGCAATCGTTGGGCTAGGGAAAGCCGACGCGGTGGCTGATTTTACCGTAGGGTTCGCAGGCGCCGAGACAGACGCGGTAGTAGACGAACCGGCGCGAACCGCAGTTTTGTTAAGCGAAGCGCCACCGGAGCGGGTCGCGTCATTCCCGGAAAGGAAAGGGTCTTGCCCAGATAGGAAAGCAGGGCCACTCGAGTGCCTTTCGACCTTTCGTCGCTTCCTCTTCTCCTGCCTCTCTTCGTACATCTCCTGCGAGCGTTCCTTTTGACGGTGACTGGCGTCCGCAGCATCTACAATCACATTCAAGGCAATTGCACGGGTACGAGTCGTGAAAAAGCGTGAAAGGCCATCGGGGTCAGGGGGAGCTGAAGTCAGGGGTGTTTCAGAGGCTGTGCGCTCTGGAGCGTAGTCCAGCGGAAGGCAAGTGCCATGGATGTGAAGAGACTGGTCCACTGGGTCTAGTTCCACGAACTGATAGCAGCACGCCTCGTCTCTGGCCCACAGCTGCTGAAAGTCTTCATAACCGCCCGGCAAAGGTGCATCGCGAGTATAGCACGATTCGCGCAAGGCGCGATCATAGAGGATGTACTTTCAGACCTGCGAGGATGTGTATTCTTGCACCACATTAGCAGCAGCATCACGGAGTTGATAGTCCCCATTCTGAGCAATGGTGACTAGAGAGTGGTGGAGTGCGCCGAGTGCCATGAAGGTGATGAGTGCGAAGGCCGCTGAGACAAAATAGAGAGGGTAGATGGAAGGCAATTGTACCGGAGGGTCTGCGCGACGATCGAGGAGCTTGGACGCAGAGGAAGCCAGTGTTCTTCGTCCCTTTATATAGCTTGTACTCTTGTCTTCATAACCGATACTCCGAGGGTTCCTGTGCGAGCCTAAAATAATCAGGCCTCCTAAAAATATTTGAGGGTCGTCTGGGATCTCTCCCGATCCATCGGACAGCTGCTCCACATCGTCAATGCCTAATAATTCGAAATAAGTGCGAAGGGCATCCAATGACTCGGCGGTCGAGAATGGGATCCATGAACGATCCCCGCTCTTCCAAACAGCCTCAAAAATGGCATTCCGACCTGAGCCGACATGGGAAATTAATTTATCAATAGACCACTCATTTTCTTGGTCCTCCAGTTCGGCGACTTGGCTGTCCAACCGGCCTGGAAATAGGCGGTCATCATTCGGTTCATGAGCTCGCAGCAATGAAGCATGAAACACGTCGTGTATCCCCCGACATTTCAGGTTAAGAGGCAATTCCAGTTTGTATGAATTATTGCCGTAGTCCTCGATTATGCGATAAGGGCCAATAAATTTTGGAATCAGCTTGCGGGCTAATCCTCGAGGTAAGGATAAGTTCTTCGTAGATAAATACACCAGGTCGTCCTTTACAAAAGGCGCAGGTCTCCGTCTACGATTAGCGTCACGGGTTTGTTTGATTCTAGCGGAAATAATGCTGTCATGAGCGGACATGAGCGCATATTTCACGCGCTGAGCATAAGCCCGAACGGCGGGATATTCATCCTTCCCAGGATTATCCCAGATCATAGGTCGGGGCATTCTTCCTGCATTAAGAAAGAAAGGAGAGTACCCTGTACTCTCTGAACGAGCCATATTAATAGCAAACTCAATGGAAGGCAGCTTGGCTACCCAATCCTTCTGAGTAGCATTAATGCACTGTCTGAGCATTTGAGTAACAGTGCGATTAGCACATTCTGTAGAGCCATCAGACTGAGGATGATAAGCACTAGACATCCTTAGTTCTACACCAACTAGCTTGTGCAGGTGGCTCCAGAATAAACTGGTGAATAAAACGTCCCGGTCACTAACGATGTATCTAGGCATACCATGATGCTTGTATACCTCAGCGAATATTAATTCCGCAATGTTCTTGGCATTGTAATTGATCCTGCTTGGCACAAGATGCACCATTGCAGTCATAAGATCGATTACTACCGTGATAGAATCATACGTGGCGTCACGGTCCTTTGATTCGGGCAGTGGCCCAACAAAGTCTATACCTATAGCTTCCCAAGGGGTGCTTGGCACAGAAAGTGGGTTCAGCAAGCCGTACGGCTTCTGATTAGGAGGTTTACTACGTCGACATGTCATGCAAGTATCACAGTACTTGCGCACATCCGCCGCCATAGTCTTCCACCAGACATGGTCTCGGAGTAGTCCCAGAGTCTTGTGGGCACCTAGATGAGCCAATAGCGAGTGTGCGTGCGCAATGACCATCTCTCTCGCACTTCGTCCATTGATCAGGACATTTGGGATGCATAATAACAACCTGCCATTGTCATGCAGGAGTACCAGGCCATGCTGAACGCGAAAGTTTTTAAAGTGGCTCGGAGAAGCCAAGATTTGTGCATAGAATGCGTCATCCGAGTATTTGCCGCGTAGTGCGTCACCGAGTACCACTCCGTCGGTACTCTCGGAGATGATATCGAGGACTCGATCCGCGGGAAGGTTGTCTGATCCGGAGCGCCCACGAGGCAACTCTGACGGATCAGCGATGTCATCATCAGCCATAGCCGCGTCAGGCGCGTCGAGCTGCGACGCCACAGGCGTGTTACGCAGTGCTTCCTGCATGCCTGCTGGGGCAAGCTGGGATGAGTCTGCTAAAGACACTTCAGGAGCCTCTGTAATGGGTATTTCCCGCAGGGATGCGCCCTCCTGGCGTTCGACACGGGGACCACGGAGAACGACACGCCGAATGCGTTTGACGAACTCACGGGACGTCTCCGGGCGCCCAGTCTCAGCTGGAGTAGGAGCGGCACGCCGCCTTCGCTGAACCGAAGCAGGAAGACCTCCGGCGGAAGGCAGGGAGGTAGTGTCTACTGCACTAGCATCATGAGTGACAGTAGAGCACGTGCGAGCAGCCATAGCCTCGATCCCCGTGAACACAGGAACAGAGATAGCGCAGCTAGCGAGGATACAAGGCAAAGGCTCGCCGTCATCAAACTGGGTGTACTCAGAGGCGGCCCGGACAGTTCCAGGACTATCATTAGAGTAAATACGAGACAAGGCGTCCGCGAGAAGGTTCTCCACACCTGGAACATACTCGATTTCAAAGTCGAACTCAGAAATCTTCTCAAGCCAGCGAGCCTGACGACCAGATAAGTCTTTCTGCTGCATAAGGTGAATAAGTCCCTTGTGGTCGGTCATCCAATGGAAGTGACAGCCTAGAAGAATGTCACAGTGGCGCTGCATAGCCTCTACACCTGCAAGCATCTCAATCTCATGAACAGGGTAATTCATCTGAGCTGGGGACAGCTTGGCAGAAAAGAATGCCGCAACATTGGCACTGCGATAGTCCGATCCCTGGGACACCACGCCGGCGATCCCACCATGTGAGCCATCCGTGACCAACCAGATAGGTGGTGCGTCCGGTGCATAGGACAGAGGCACTCTATCATGTTCACGGTGAGCCTGTACCAACTGCTTAATTTCCTGAAAAGCGCGTTGCTGAGTGAAGTCCCATTTAAAACTTGAGTCAGAGCCCGTCAAAGCGGACAAAATGCCCATAGGAATGCGAATATTCGCAATGTCATCTGAAAGAAAACCCACAGAGCCCAGAAAGCCACGTAGCAGCTCCTTGCTAGTGGGGACCTTCCAGTTGACTACGGAGTCCACTTTGTCCGGATCCATGCGAATGCCTCCGGGGCTAACAATTCGTCCCAGAATTTTTATTACTTTAGCAAGAAAGTAGAGCTTGTCAGAAGCCAAAAATAAAGATTCTCGACCCAGGACATCAATGACCAGCTTGCAATGTTCAACATGCTCCTCAAGAGTGTCTGAATAAATGATAATATCATCCAGATAGGCATCCATGAACTTCCCCATGTAGGGGCCAAAAATGTGATTCATGAGGGCCTGATAAGTAGCCACTGCATTGCAATCACCCTGCTGCATTACCAGGCTAACCATATTTCCATCAGGGGTAGCCATAGCCATACGATCGACATGTTCAGGAGTAACACGGATCTGATCATAGGCATCCTTCTTATCCAACGCGGATAGAAATTTCTTGCTCGCGACGCGACGCAAGATACCCTCCATGGGGGGCAAAGGTGAGGTAAGCTTCTCAGTATTAGCATTACGTTCTCGCAAATCGCATACCACACGAAGCTTGATGGGCTTTCCATTCACTCCAGACCCCGGCTTCTTCAAGAAAAGCATAGGGCTGGTGTTGCGCGCTGTGGTCATCTTCCAGCGACCAGACCGCAAGTAAGCTGCTCGCTTTTCCGTCCAGGCAGCGCACATAGGTTCAGGACAACGTGCGGGTCGCCAAGTGTAAACCTTAGCGGGGTCCTTCAGAGGGATAACATGATTTATAGCACGCAGAGGAGGCAGCGGCGAATCCTGTGTGGACTTACAGATGGGCTTAGCATATTCACGAAGATATTCGCGTACACTTTCGAGACGATCCTCATAGATCTCTGTGGCCCGAGATTCGAGTACTTTCAACCGTTTACCTTCAATAGGAAGCGATTTTGTACTGCCGATTTCCACGGTGGTAGGGTTAAAACCTAGTGCCACTTGATGTTGAAAGAAAAAGGGAGTACCCAGGACCACATCATAAGTAGATAAATTTGCGACATCAAAGCGTCGGACCTCTTTAATTGATTGGTAAGCCACCTGAGCCTGACATCCAGAGTGTATCTTGGAGCGAGATCCTTGTACAGCGAGGTGGACAGGCAGAGGTTTAGCCAGCTCAAAGGACTTCAGTCCTAGTTGATGAACAAGCCGTGCAGAGATAAAATCTGCCATAGACCCAGTGTCTAGCAAGGCACGGGCAGGGTGGCCATCAACGTCGATCACTATGGTAGGAGGTTCAGGGATTACATGCTGGAAATCACACGGAACAGCCGCGTTGCGTTGCACCGCGGGCAGTGGGTCATTCCTCGGAGAAATCCCCACAGTTCCGAGCTCTATCGCTCCGAAATGAACTTCTTCGATCGTTCGATCAAAGAGTTCCGCGAGAACTTCCCCGAGATCTTCCCGATCTGGGTCGCGGATCACGAAGCGTCTTCGGACTGCCCGAGCAAATGCATTACAGACGTCATAATCGACATTCCGCAATGCTGCGTTGGGCACAGCGGCAATAATGTCGAGGTAATGATCCTCGATCACCACCTCGTCGCTAGCTTGAACGCAATGAAATCGAGGTACACCAGGATCTTGGGGCTCTGCGCCCTCCGGAAATGGAAACTCGTCATTTAACGTGGCTTCCACGCCGAGCGCTAATGCGTAGCTCATTTCCTCCCCACCCCTGGGACCGTGAAAGTGTCCCGATTCGAATTCGACGCGCCTCCGGAACCACACAGGTAAGTTGAATTCCGGATCGCGCAGCCGAGCTCCAGGGACGTACTGCTTCTTCACGAGGTAACTATTATATATCTCATAGTTGCCACCTGGAGCAGGGACTACATTGAAGCCACAAGACTCCCAGAGAGGCATACCATGAGCGGACTGGGCACAGCAATATGGTGCATGGTCCTCTAGGGTACGCCGAGCCCGCCAAGCATAGAGGTCATGGATTCGGCGACGAGGGCGCCCTTCATGCACTGTGAAGGGCAATTCGACCAAGCCGTCCATGGTCCTAACCTTGCAGGTCGAAGCGGAAGCACTAATAGGTTCCTCCACCTCCGGTGAAGGTACAGGCTCCTCTTGGGGTGGCTCAGAAGTGGCTGAGTCCCCATTGGCAAGACGGGACCCAGCTTCATCGCCTGGAAGTGCAGAATTGGCAGGTGAGCTATCCGAGTTAGCTGGGGCAAGCGGGTCGGATTCCACATCGAAATCCTCATATTCTGAGTCAGAGCATGACTGAAGGCTAGGCATAGAATCTGCATCACTATCATAGTTACCAACATGAGGCACAAAATGCGGGAGGGTGAACGCCCCTTCCCCTTCGGGTGAAGTTACATGATCTTCCCCAATACTAATCATGCCTACATGGATAGAATTGTCGCGGGTAGTGGATTCTGAGATGCCCCGCAACTCCTCTATACCATCAAGGTCCAGCTCGATGTTATGAGCCGCAATGCCGGGCACAGAGCCGGGTCTGTTCGAGCGCACTACACTCCTCCGCGGACAGTTCCGCGTGAAGTGTCCTGCTTCTCCGCAGGTAAAGCATAGAGATGCGTCCTTGCGACACTCTTTCTCTTGTGATGAAAGCCTAGGAGCAGAGGCGGTCCCAGAGGGACGAGAAGGTTTGTAACTTGAGGAATACTGACCCCCAGAGGGCCCAGAAGTAGGTAAGGAAGCATTAAATCGTCCCCTAATAGGTCGCCTATTAAAAGGTTTGGCCTTTCCCTTAGCTTCAGGCTTAGTAGCCCCAGCCTGGGAGGTGGCAGGAGAGGGTCTGTCGCCCTTAGAAACCTGCGGTTTTTGAGTAGCACCTACATGTTCAGCTATCTCAAGTATCTCCGCAGTTTCGCAAACCTCCTCCCAACTGGAGTGCATAGGCGTTAGCTTCTGTAACCAGAGTCCCTTCTGAATATAAGCATTCAGTCCAGTCCATAGCCGATCAACGCGCTCTTGTTTTGACCAGACACCAGCCATAAGAAAAAGCGTGTCTAATTCATGAATATATTCACGAACAGTTTGCCCACGCTGATAACATCTGCGTAGCTTCTCTCGTTGTCGCATACGAAAGTCCACCGGGAAGCAATAATTGAAGAGCTCTATAAATATATTGCCAAGCTCCCAAGAACGAGAATTCTTGGAAACTGAGGTTACATAGAACTCATAAGCAGTTCCAGTCAAAAAATACGAGACCGTAGTGGCAACTTGTGACTTTTTGAGTTTGTAACCATCAATATACTCCGTCATCTCTCTCATGAATTTATGAAATTCTTGCACATCGGCTTTTCCATCATAGGAAGAAGGTTCTCTTGGTTTCAGAATAGGAACTCGAGATTTCTTCCTCTTAGCATGATGGTGTCTCCTACCACCCTGGCTTACATTCTCAGATGCGCTAGTATCATCATCAGCATTATCTGAAGTGGAAGACTCCGAAGAAGAGTCATCCGAGGATGAGGCATCACTGGGTGGCCCATCTCCCCCACCAGTTAACTGCCGAAAGGCAGCCCCTAAATAGCTGCCTGGCTCTATCTGAGAAGCAGGACGGAACATAGAGTTCCGTGCCTTACTTACAGACGCTCCCCGGCCACGGGACACGTCGGCGCTGCGACGCTCAGCGGAAAGTATAGCGTGTGGCCCCAGCGCCACAGTACTCGATCGAGGCCTGATAGCCTCGGGTTCGATCGCAGCGGCTTCGGCTTCTGCTAACTTCCGTTTAAGGTCCGCAATTTCGGCCTGGATTCCCGCAGCGGGCGTGGCTCTGCCAAGTTTCTCCGGTGCGTCCCTGATCTTGATCGAGGGAGCTCGAGCCTCACGCTTCGAGACGCGCCCCGGATCAGGTACCTGGCGCTCCGCCGGCTTCGGAACAGCGGATCCCGGGATAATTTCGGCTTTCCGAGCAAGGAGAGGCCGGCTGGTCGTCCTAGGACTCAGCGGCCTAAGGGAGTTCCTGCCCATATACCCTTCTTTTAAAGCCAACTTCCGAGCCTTCATGGCATCAGAAATCACAGTGAATTCTCTCTGTTGTGCTTGTAAGTCCAATTCCTCGTCAGGAATGCCAGAGTTGCCTCAGTTCCTGGGGTCAACTACTTTACCCTTCCACTGCGGCAGGGAAGGACCTTCACCCCGTGAACGAGGGCGCGAAGGCAAGCGCTGCTCGGATAGGCTATTCCGAGCAGCTGAAGCCATTTCATATGGCAAAGTTTCGTTCAGGGTGACTGTGTCACCTGAAGATTCCGTGGTGGCTTCTAGATGGCCACTCATCATGTTCATTGGTTCTGGCGTAAGAACCGTACGCGGCGGCGAGTCCACGCTCCGAGCCCGCCTACGTCTCTCAGCTGGGGTACGCGCACTGCTCCCACTCAAAGCCGATTGGTTGCTCAACGAGCTTTTTATTCTACTTAACACCGCAGGCGGTGCGTATAAGTCATCGACGTCCTCGACATCATCTACAGTAGTTCGGTACATAGCTCCCAGTGGGGGTGACCCAACAAATGCCGTATTGCCCAATGTCTCACCCTCGTCCAACATAGAGAACGAGGGCGGAGGTCTCGACCTTACTCCCTCACCCGAACGGCGAGGTTTCAAGTCGGGTCTCGAGCCGGGGCTCGGAATTGAGGTACGTTCTGAAGGGGTAATATTGTCAGTAAACACTGAGCCAATAGGAAACTCACCGCTAACCGTGGAAGGCCAAACGCCTTCGACGCTCAGTGAGCGCCTGACCTGAGTGGTGTGGCCTCGTGCCATATCGGGTAAGGGTCACGAGCAACGAGCCTAGGTCAATTTTTTTGTATCGCACAGAAGCGATAGAGTCGTCGCAGGGCCGGAAGACTGAGTTGATCAGACTCGAGAGGATCCAGGCACGAGCGGCGAGAGAGAGTTGTTAAAGAGTAAAGCGAGTAAGACTTGTACTGTCAAAAATATGTGACGTTCGCAGCTACTTTTGGTAGTTGGTGACGTCACACGAGCTAGAGCGTCACGTGCCAGGAATAGACAGGTTTCAAGTATCTGAAATTCCCGTAATACGAGCGCTGCCCTACACGAGAGGATTCGGGTCTCCTTATATACATAGAGACTACCTGTAAATTTTACGGGGTTCAACTAGAAGTAGGGCAGTAAAGAACGTGAAACGAATGAGTAACGAGCGGGGGTTGGCTAAATAAGGAAATAACGGAGCTACCTCTGAAACGAGGTTGTGGCTAAGAGAACCAGTCTCGGCGCTCTACGGAGCGCGCCGTTACACACGTGATCCTGTCCGAGCACATAACTTTAAATGTGCTACGTTCACCATATCTGAGTGCGATGTATAGCCTCTCGCAGCAGTAAAAGGACAACAGTTTGACTTGCAAATGGGGTATCAGCTCGCGGTTTGACCAGTCATGCTAATGATGAGATATCTCCCAGGAAACATAAACAACGTCGGGGCGGTCCGGGCGAGCACTAGCGCGACAATATGTAACCAAAATTTAACGTCTCCAGTGCGATAAAGTTGTACAAGAGCCTCGGAGCACGCATAATGGAAATTCTACAGTCCAGTGGTATTCAGGGAGATTTAAGCCGGCCCCTCTCGCGGCAGCTTCGACTCAACTAGTCGGCTCTAACCATGCAAATCAATGCTGACGATTCAGAGGGTTATTTTGGAGGACGTTATCATCGCATATGACTTCCAACCAGTCCTAATCTCACCTGGCGATCCGTTTGGCGGCACAATGTTATGAAGACAGATCGAAGAGCTCAGATGACAAGGCTGCGCCTACGCTGTGCGCTATAATTCTTAGCTTGATGCGCAATGAAACGGTGAAGCAAGGCAGATAGCCGATGTAGAGTCACACAACCATGCCGAAGGAGAAGGTCGCGACGGAAAATGTCCTCAACGAAGCTGAGCACGATGGACAGGTCGGTACAAGCGCAGGCCGCCTACGGGTGCCTTTGTATCCAAACCTCTGATATGAACCGATAGACAGCGAATGGTGCAGATCCTACATACCCCCCTGCTTCGCTGTATTGAGAGAGCGGAGTCTTCATCGCGAGAGTGCCGCATGCGGTCAATTCAAGAATTGAAAGAGAATTGCACGGTCGCTAATGCACAAAATATTCAAGCGCGAACCTTCCGGCAGAGACAGCAAGATGCCCATGTTAGAGGAAGCAATATGCATCAGTCCAAATGTAGAGTAGATCCGTTGTCTCGCCTGCCATCCTTATCTACTGCCCTCGATGCCCCGACGTCCCTTTGCATCATCATCATTATGAAATTCGTGGACATGTACGCGTAACGCAAGGCTCTATGATCAGAGTAATGCGACGCGCATTCATTCGCTCTCCTGGATAAGTGCGAGGATCATGCTAACGATGGATGCGATGTCATTCTGTGCACGTGAGACGGTGGATGAAGGCACAACACGCACCGATAGAGGTAATAGAAGAAGCTAAGGAGGTAAAACCCGAGTTTGACGAAGCTCTCTTTCTTGTGGTTCGGCAGCGTACGGAAGATCTCGGTAGCGTCGTACATGTGATTCTTACTTCTGATTCTGTAGGGAGCAGCATCTCAACAAATACCCACGGACGAATGCCATACGGAGAGGCGGCAAGCTGTTCGACGCACTTGTTGATGTTGTACGCAAGCAATGGAGCGTTGAGCAGGAATGCTACCCACTGCCCAGATAATAGGAAGAGTAGTGCAAGAAGCGCGTGGGCACTGTTTTCTGGAAGCACAAACTACGCTCGGGTGGATGAGTATTGGAAAGTCCGGGCGCTTCGCGGCAGCAGGCCGTGACGCACCTGGTTGAGTTTGTTGCAGAGGTCTATTGGGTTGATATAATCACACTCCAAGTCGGAGAACATGATGATCTGTGGTGTTGAGAACAGGGATCCAGGAGTTTCAACGTCAATCAATGAGCACGTCGACACGGCGGTGCGCAAGCCAGGGGCTACGCACGAAGAAGACCATCGTAAACAAAAGGCCAGCGGCCATGAGCACCGAGAACAGAAACAGCCACCCTAATTTCATGGCGAGAATCGGGGAGACAAGAGTCGCAGAACGTCGTAGGATCGTCGAAGCAGTAATTCAGATATCAGGATGGTCAGCACCCCGTTTACATAGACCGGCACGACGAGCTGGCATTCGTACCTGTTCCGCCCATCGTACAATTGTGCTAGTACAGAGTATATCACAGAAAGAAGATAGGTATGAAAAGACTTTGCAGGGAGAATCCCGCAGCAGGTGAGGAAGGAGCAGACGAGCGACGTTGAAGAGCGGTGGCAGATGGAATGAGCTGACGTTGCGTGACCCATGTCACAAATAATGTCGCATTTGTGACCACTTCGCGTCAAGCTAGCACTGACCGGGCCCCCACCAAGTGGCCACACTGCGGCCCCCTCGGTCACCATGGCAGCTCACAGCTCGCCATCGTTTGGCCTGGTGTTATTGAACTAACATATCTGTTATCCTGATTATATTTTGCACCAGATGTGCTCTTTTGATGTATTGACGGTACAGTGGCTGCAAGCATCGGTCGTGAAATGTGATCTTTATGGAAGGCGTGCTCAAGGATTTCACGCCGTATAACACGAATTGCCTAAGTTCTGCTTGAGAAATATTTAGTCTCAACCGTTCCGAACGCCTTTAATATGCTAAGCGAGAGGCGGTGACCCAACCATCGTTGCATCGAAGTCAACCAGAGGCTCTACCAACTTTTACAAAGCATATCAAGCACGGTGAGATGGACTCCACATCGAACAAGACCGTGCGTACAGCTTCCAAACGCTGACAGCAATTCGGTCGAGAGGCGGAGCAGAGAGCTTGATTCAAGTAACAGAGCAAGAACAGACGAGACACCAATAATACAACTGCAGATGAGCATAATACGCGGAAAGGACCGTCCATAGACCTGTAAAATGCTGAGTGTGGCGCATCAGCAGACCGTCCGTGAGCGAGCACTCCACCACCCACACCGACCAAGCACGGCCTTCACAAAATAACCATCGACTGCCTGACATCTCACTCGACGTCCATCCGGCCTGCGGCACCCTGGCTTCCCCGGCCACCACCTCCTCCGCGCCTGCCGCCTCGACCTCGCCCTCGCCCTCGTCCACCCCGTGCCCATCGCTGCGTGTAGTCGGATGGCTCCATGCCCGGGGGTGCAATGAGCACTGTTGCCCGCGCGCCCTTCGCAAGGATGTCGTCCGAGCGCAGTTTTCTGCCCGTCATATCAGAATCCCTATCATCACGAGCACAAAAAGAGAAAGGAACGCACGACCCGCCCGAGCTCCCGTCCTCCATAAGCACATCCACACTATCCTCCTCTATGGCGGCGCCCATGATGCGCCCGCCAAGCGTCGCGTTCACGCCGCCGATGATCTTGACTTCGAGCAGGCGCCCGTCCGCGGGCTGCCCATGGAACTTGGCGACGGCCGCCTGTGCATCCTTCTCAAACTTGAAGGTGACGCGCACAATCGGCGGGTCACCTCGTGAATACAAAACGGCGTTCGTTATTGCCCCGCAACGCTTGAAGATGGCCTGAGAGGAGGCATGAGCAGAACGAAGATAAACGGCAAGTTCGAACGCACCTCTACGTCGGCTGCGCTGGTCCCTGGTGCTAACCCTCCAACCTGAACCACGTTTCCTCTATTGCTCGCGCCCTTGATAGAAAGCCCCTTTTCACCTAGAGCCTCCCTCAGAGCCCTATCGGCGCCCGAAAAGTTCATCTTCGGTGCACCGGACTGCGAATCTGACAGTCGAGCGCTGAGCGAGCCTGTCTGATCCTTGTCGGCGCCTGGCCCGCGATAGAGATCATGTCGCCACGTATTGTTGATGTCGCCCTTCGGAGGACGTTGATTGCGGTTCTGTTGTCGGGTAAAGTGAAGAGAGAGAGGAGAGACGAAGTGAGCCGCTGAGCGGTGGGTCAAAGGCGAGAGTTTCGGCGCACATAAGGGCTGGCGCTCCCGGCGCGGTTGCCTCTGGTGCGCACAGGGCCAACAGAGTTGTTGTTTGGAAGACTGAGGCGTTCGAGGAGTGAGGCAGTCATGGTCAGCGAGGTGGTGGTAGTGAACGACGAGGAGAAAGCAAAGTTGTGGCGCTGTCACAAGCCAGGAGACGCTATTTGGTCCTGTTTGCTTATTTGTGGCCATGCATGCTAGGCGCCCTACCCCTGCGCAAATCTCATTAAAACCTGTGCGCCTTGCTGATGGTCAGGACCTCTCGGTGTGTACCTGGTGGGACGCAGTCACGTTTGCAGCTATCGCATTCTTGTTAACGACATTGGGATGTGGGATCTGCCTCGATTGCCTTGAAGCATCAAATTGTTTTCATTGGAATTAACTCATATTTCCCATTGGCATCTGACTCAACATTTTGCTCGTCTGGAGTCACGTATCGATTTTCTTTTCTAGATATGGGAGGTTGTTTCAACAGACGGCGCGTACTATGCGATATGGCGAGCGAGGCATGCATTACGGGTGCGTTGGTATTAGATCTCGTCAATCTTCAACTGCGTCTTTGACAGTTGATGCAACTGCTCCTGAATGTCTGTGCCTTCAGAGTGTTCATCCGTGAGGTAGAAAAATCTGCATGTGTGTAAGTGTACCTCATTTGAAGAGCCTTTATTTACATATCTGTCTAAAATTGGACAATGCTCGGTATCCTGACAGTTCAAGAAATTTCCACCTCGATTGCAACGACTCAAGGCAATGCGTCGCATCGCAACCCTAGCGTGGTCGGCTCTATCGCATCCCTATTCTGATATCTCAAACCGGAATCGTCCTGTAGCCCGCGCGTAGCACTTGCGGTGCAACGATCCTAAATGACAGAATGTAAGCATATTCGTCACGAGCAACAGTATCATCATTCGTTCTAGATCGCCAGCCAGTGCTTATGATTCAGGAGAACAGCGATACATCGGTGATGTCTGGACATGCTGGCCCTGCCTTCGACTTTGGGACAAAGACGAAGACCCGCTATGCTCATAAAGTGGTTGCATGATCTCGTACCTGTTATCATAAGACTTGCATCCGCAGGACAATGCAGATAGCCAGCAACGTATCGTAGTTTCGACGATTTCTTACAACGCTTGGGATGGCGACGTATCAATTAATCAACCTTCGATGCTGCGATCCATTACATATACCCCTTTGGGCGCGCGAGAAGTCACGCCAGGCGGCACTGCGCCGGCTGTCAATCACTGTCTAAGCGCATTTTGCGAGAAGCCAGGCGCCATGTTCGACCATAGCAACAAGCTGAGGCCCAGCACGTTGTGTTCACCTCTCATGAAGAAATGCAGGAGACCTTCCTTTTCTTCAAGCTGTACCGCTACGTAGCACAGGTTGCATCGCATGGATCAAATGTTCGTCATCGTCCATGCATGCGAGATCTCTGCACGATCGATTCCGGCTCAACCTGATGGCGGTGCTTTCGCGGGCGCTCCGACAGCCGCCCTTGGAAGTTCCTCTTCTGATGCCAACAATCATCCAGGAACGCGCCGGAACGCGTTGCTCGCAAATCCTACAATTTTTGTCTTTCAAACACATCAGGCATCAGGCGGATCCCAAACCAACTAGGCAAACACTTGTCACCCACAGCGCGCCCTGCTACGTTGCTATGCGCAAGGATATTGGTTAAGTGTACACTCGCTTCATGACTAGGTTATAGGTAAATTTCTCCCTGCTTCTACTACTGAACGATCAGAAATCTCGCGGAGAATGAATGATTGGATTTGTGGCGGCATCTGGTGACGCTCTTGGCGAGCCAACTCCGATATATCTCTCCTTATCAACCACGTTAAGTATTGTCAGCGTCTCGAAAATATAGAGCATTGCGGCCTGCCAGACCAATTTGACTAGTCGTCGCGTGCTGACGGTGGGTGGTGCTGCGACATGAGGGGGATGCAATGCTTCTCATCATTGGGGTCGCCGGTTCAAGGGATGCAACACCATCTCGTCCATGATGCGTCTGGTAGCGTGGCATTCGATCCTCTGCTTTAGCCTATTTGTCAAACCCAAGGTTTCCACAAGCGCCCGCAGCCGGACCGTGCGATGTCGGCCATTCCTCCTCAGGCAAGGTCCAGCCTTTCTCGAATGAGGGAGCTGGGGCTGTCCTTGGCTGCTATAGTGCCCGATCGGCGACCGCTCCCTTCCCCGGCGGCCGTGCGCTGCATATAAAACCGGCTTCGTCGTCCTTTGGCGTGTTCATCGGCTTAGATCCTTCCCACTGCCACTATGTCCTCGGATCCAAGCAGCTCTCAGCAATTAATCATCGGCCTTCGGACGATGTGAGGTTCCATACTGAGACTGGCTTCCCCTGCTCATGTGCTCTGATAGTCAGATTGCTAACAACATACAGATTTCTACCACTGGTGGGTTCTGAACTATCTACAACTGTTAGTCCTTAGCCAGCTGTCGATCTCATCGTTTGCCACTTCATCAGCTCTCTTCTTTTACGATATCATAATAACCTTCGACCAAGAGATCCGTGTAGTATGGACTCGCAAAATCACCGCAGCCAGCGTCATATACATCCTATCTCGATACCTGATGTTTCTATACCTCATACTCACGTTTGTAGAGAACGCTTTCGACTGTGAGGTACCCTTCAATCGCATGTTCCATTTGAGGATCGTTACTCACCAATCGTATGTCACTAGAGGTACGTTCTTCATCTCGCAACCGATCAAATTACCTCATCGCCTTTCATGCAGCTCGTATATTGTCATTCAATTCTACAACAGCGTCCAGTGCATATTATATGCAATCTGGGCAGGTGAGAAACATTCGCATTGGCATTCTTCGGCTGTATGCTCAGTATAGCATTGACACCGCTAGCGTTCACGGCTCTTCGAACATATGCAATCAGCCTTCACGCATGGCATGTAGCTGCGCTCGTTTTCCTCCTTGGGATGGTCCCGGCAGGGGTGAACAGCGTGCGTTAGGCTTTAGGTTTGATTGGTCGTTGCTGAGCCTGATGGTACTCTGTTGCAGTATTATTATAGTCAGATGCAGCTGTACAATCTCCCTCCGCCTACTGGCTGCATTCTTGCGAGTACCATCCCAAACGATATCATGAATAAGTGCGCATCTCCTACACATCCCTGATGTTCCGACGACTTACGTAGATTGCCATGCCAGGTGTAAGCTCCGTTATTCAATGACGGTATCTCTCGTCACTGAGTACGAACACAGTGGTGATTGGCACAAGAGTTTGCGTTGTCGCGGCCGATGGTGTTCTGCTACTCGTGACATGGTATAGGACCTATGGGCTTCGCAAAGCTGCTAATGAGGTTCATGTGCGTGCATCTCTGGCATCCATGCTGTTGAGAGATGGTATGTTGTACTCCATGCACGTACACGAAGCATTCTGATGTCTCGTATCTAGGTACCATATACTTTGGGTATGTGTCTTCATAATGATCGCACTTTTTATCGTGTTCTAAGATTTTCCAGCGTCCTCTTTTTGCTGAGTCTTGCCGACATCATTTTGTCAGTCACTGATGTACGTTCTTTTCGCCTTTCGCACGTGCATGCGTTATTAATTGATCCACTCAAGACGTTCAGCGATACGACAACGTTTATCGCCATGTACGCGTCATTGCAGAATTTTCCAGATTTTTTCCTGATATCCATGCGACTCCTTACAGCTTGACACCGATGCTTCTCGCTCGCTTCTTTCTCAACCTGCGCCAAATTGACAACTCTGGTCATGGTACCGGGACGTCTTCTCAAGGAGAGACGTATCAAGCCTCGAATCTCCGGTTTGCCGCAAGCATCTTTGGGAACATGGGACAGTCGCTTGGAATTGGTGGGGAAGAGACAGACGGCGATCTGGACCTAGAGCTGACGACAGATGGTTCGAGCGAATCGAATCCAGACAGTCTCATGACGGAAGCTTGAAGAGCATTGGGACGCAGTGACTGATTGTGCGTTGTCCTATACTAGCGAATGTAATGCTTGCTCATGCTGCAACAGTGCGAGAAAACTCTAACCAAGTTGGCAATCAAAGCTATGATAGGAACACGTCAGGTGATGAGAAGCCACACCAATCCTTGAACCTTCAGTTTCGCTGCGAGCATTTTCGGCAATATGGGGCAATCATGGCAAACCGATAGCGAGGAAGACGCAAACTTGGATTTGGAGTCAACGACGGAGGTTAATGGCGATTTGAGCCTTGACAGCTTGACGACGTGTGGCCCTGGTAACACGCAAGACACAGAAACGCCATTGATGTTCGGGGTGGACTTTCACGCATTGAGCCGTTATACAGAAGATTCATGCACTTCAGCGAACCGAAATCGTTCTTTTTCTTTTTAGGTAAACATAGCAATACGATAAATATCACGACCGAACTCGTATGCTCAGAATGTCCTAGATAATTAATCACACCCTCTGTTCGGCTTATCCCCACGTATATGGTAGTGCGGCAGGGTTACCCATCGCCTTAGTATCCCCTTGATCTTACGCCTGCTGATCACAGCACCGACCTTTGCCAGCTCAAGTTCCCCGAGACCGATATCTGGCTCGCTGCGAGGTACTCCAGCGTGCGTTTCTTGCTCTTCTGAACTATCAATAGACCAATTTGACATAAATTACACGGCAAGAAGTCCCCAACTCGCCCGCGAAAGATCCAAAACAAGGTGGTCATGAGATGTTTTTGTTGGAAGTGAAGTGCGGGATGCACTTGGGTACGTGCTTGGCGTGCCGAGCACAAATGTTGTGCCGTGGTGAAACACGTCGGAAGCGGTACCTGGAGACGGAATGGTCGGAAAGGCACGGGCCCAGACAGGGGCAGAAGGTAGTATAAAGTACATACCTAGGTAGCCAGTTCCCTCA